GTGCCTATAGTTGAAAATGATAATCATTAAAAATTAGATATAAGCTTTAGTTAATTTTATAAAATTATACACCTACAAAGTGATCAAACATTCCCATTCCTGATATTATTCCATATAAATCAAAAGCCATAAGCACTGGAAGTACATAACCAATCTTTATAGGAAAGAATGGAAGAAATATCAAATATACTGACGCCTCTGGATATTCTATGGCACATGCGCTTAGACACGAGAAAATAGCTCCCGAAGCTCCTAATGATCCTTTTATGTTTTTCCAATTTTTAAACATCAATGATAATACATGACTTGCACATGATGATATTACTCCTGAGCTAAGGTAAAATGCAAGAAATTGTTCTTTACCAAACATTCTATAAACCACTTCGCCAAATGACCATAATGCAAACATGTTGAAACCTAAATGCCATACTGCTTTATGACTAAAAACTGATGTCAATAATGTAAACATTCTACCTGATAATGGATTATGAACAAAAAATTTTTCCATTAAAGGTTGAAGTGGTGCTAATTGCCACATTCCAAAAATTATTGAATTGATCCCAATTAATACTGCTAATGTTTTATTACAGTCATTTAATGAAATCCATCGTTTAGTTATAAGTGCAATGTTCCTTTCAATTTCTATATATACATTCCAATCTCGTAATTTTTTTATCTGTTGATTAAAAACTCTTTTGACCCATTTTGTAATAGTTGATGTCTCCTTACTATTATAAGGTTCTATAATATCTTTACTGCTGATCCTTCGTTTATATTCGGAATAAGTCAAGGCAACTGTAAAGGTTGTGCCCGACGTGAAACAGGTGTATAAAATAGGTTTAACAATTGTTGGTTTATTATATAAACCTGCTCGAGATATATAAGTTCTATTTGATAAAGAAATTCGTGAATTATATAACTTTTGATTATTAGTAAACGTAAATAAAATTTTTCGAGAAATGAATAATTTTTTGAAATTTTTTAATGGGAAAAGCCACATTTTTTTTAATTATCGTTAAAATCGAGAAATTCATACATTTATAC